CGGCTGGGTACATACACCAACAACAGCAAGTGTGGTCCAAACAAATCATTGTGCAAGCAACTAAAGGTATAAAGCAAGCAGGGAAAAAACAGGAATCCTTATATTTGAGAGCATAAGCTCTCCTTATCCTTCTGCTCTTACCATTATAGACTCTTTTTCTGAGGCTCCCTGTAGTCACCAGATGCTGGCCATCAATGCAGCATCACCCAATGCCTTGCCTGCTCCATTCCTCCCAGTGGGAGAGATGCTGGTGAAATAACAGGATGGTGGAGCCATGCCCTCCTGGGGTTGGAGATTCGCTACAAAATAATGTACAAAGCACCACCTCCTGCTCACATGCAGCAACACTGGGTCTAGCATACAATCTGGCTCCAGGAGTAGCTTTGTACCCCCCAAGCAACATCCTCTGGCTTCCACCAGACTGAGTGTTCTTACATCAGGTTTCAGCTAAGGTCCCCACGCTCTCCAAGACACCAGAAAAGTATACCCAAGTGTCCTTCTGTCAGACTCAGGCTACAGGAGAGTGATGATACAGCTCTCCCCTTTCCCCGTGGGGTAAAATAGTGGGTACAAATCCAGCTGCAAACAGATGAAACCGTTCTTTGAAAATTTCCGCTGACTTGTCATGAATCATAATATTTTCATAGAGCAGTGGTCTGTTTTCAACAGAGCTGGAAATTAATCAGCACCCTGAACCAAAGGGTATCTGCAGCACGGGATTACACAAAGCTGCTGTTAAATTATATTGTAATTTAGCTAACTCTAGAGAGATAGAAACCATCGCAATACGGGATTAAATTCCAGCTTGAGTTCTGAAAACGGTTCCTGTCTTTATGGCAGTTTGTCACCAAACTCACCCAAGCCAGCTGGGATGGCTGGAACCAAACGCTGTAATCTTTCCCCAGCTTGGGTCAACCTGAAATAGTCTAGATAGACCTGGAAACTTTTATTTAAAAAAAAAACAAAAAACAAAAAACACAACAACACACACTCTTACCAAACATGAACCACACTTTGGCTGCTTGAAGTCCCATCAGAATGATACATTCCTGTTTTGGAAGGGGAAAAAAATGCTGAAACAGACCAGAAACTTATTTCTGACATTGGAAAAGGGTTGTATAACCTTAGTAGAGGGTTGTTCAAATCAAATCTATGGAAACATATACAGAGCCAGTTCCCCTACAGGTGGGGAATAAAGTATCTCTCCATTTTGTCACTGTTTTGTTCAGATCTAACAGAAGAAAAATCATCAAGCCGGAGGGGTTAAAGGAGCACAGAGGCCTTTCATACAACTCTGGCTCCTACAAGAAGACTCCTTGTACAACCCTATCACCCCCCTAAGGTTCACGTCCCATGTGTGCCAGTCATTTCAGTTCTCAGGAGTAGAACTTGCCCAACCATTGTGTGTGGAAAAACACCCAATCACCACAAGTTGATTCATGCCAGCAAAGACCCAAAACAAATCCTCAGGCAGCTGGTGATTCCATACCCAACACAGCCAACTGTTCCAGACAGAGTATCCAGAGGCTGGACAAGTCTCTTATCCATCATACACACACACACACAGAGTGAAAAGGAGTCACGATGACACATGGAAATCACTGCAGGAATCTGGAAACAGTAACAAAACAGGTTGTACTACTAATTTTATGCACATACATTCTGTAGCACAGGAGGGTATTATGTGTGCCAGAGGGGTGATTCTGGTAACAGCCAACAGTCCCAGTACCTCCACCTCAGGGAGAGGTCTGTGTATACTAATTTTATGACTGCTTGCTCTTTGGACAAACAGGAATAGTATAAAAGCACCCTCAAGGACTTTGGACTATCATTTAGTTGATGAACAGATTCACATTGCTAATTTGGCTTGGACCCGGAGACCTCTTGTGCATGGAGAAGGGAAAAAAAAAAAACCCCACAATCAACCAACCCACCCAAACCATGCAACAATATAGTGTCACCAATCTTTTCTTACACACCACACCTCTAACGAAATATTAGTTAAAGGTTAACTCTTAATAGAGGAGTCCAGGACTTGGCATCTTCTAGCATAGTTGACACAGCAACATTTCTACAAAGGTTTGTCTCAAACAGGAGAAAGAGAGGAAGATAGAAAGTAGCGAGGGCTCTGTGAAAGCTTGCAGCTTGTGGTTATGCCATAGCTTATTTTCAGCAGGTGTTTCTGATGGACCTTGTACTGAACTGGATTATTGAGTTGAACATCTGTTTTCAGGCTCACAGGCAGACAGCTTTTCTCCAGCAAACATGAGCCACTGGTCTGCATTATGAGCACCCTGCATTTCTCTGCAATATCTTGTCTACTCTTGCTTCTACCAAAACAGGCAGCTCAGCATGCCAACAAGACTGGGGTTTGGAAGTGACGTCCCGTGGATCAGGCTTCCACAAGCCCCAGTGAAACGTTACACAATGCTCTACAGAAAACAAAACAATTAATGTCTTCCCCGTGGCAACATTCACACAAGCACTGGCAAATTCACACATCTGTAGCGTAAGCCACCTTGATCCGGAAATCCAAGCACAGATGGCAAACAAATTTGGGATACATCTTTTCCACTGACCCAATTGTGGTGGGACTGCAGCTGCTCCAGTAACGTGGTTTATTGCATTTTTTTTCACAGTAACTAATGGTAGCTGTGTCACACACTCACAACTGCAGCGAGTCCTTAATATAGCACGGGTAAACAAACATCACACCAAACAGCTTGCACAAGAGAGGGGTGTGTATGCTTTGCAGACAGCTTGCTCACCTGTTTTAACAAGTGCTCTCGAGAAGAATTGTGTTCTTCAGTGTTACATTTCTGCCTAAGACTCTTAGAGCTATCAGTTACCCTTTGAACGCTTGATAATAAACCTAATTCACTTCAAAGAACCGGGTCACTTCAGATGTAAACAGCATTTGCCTTTGCAGAGATCCCTTATTTCACAATTAAAAAAAAAAAAGTCCAGCACATTATGTTTACAGTTATTATAAACAATAGGCTGGGGGAGTGAAGAATTTCTCAGAACTGTTATTTTCTGTGATTTGATGTCCTCAAACAAGCCTCTGACACCCTCACTTTAGGAACACACATGACCCTCAAGCAAATGACATGCAAATCAATCTCATTCCCAGTAAAGAAACTAAGTAACAGAATATAGCATCCTCTAAAAAAGCAGGGTGAATAAAAAACATAGCCTTGTACTGGCCATATTCCACATCACCACTTACAATTTAAGGGAACAAAAATTTACAGTGTAACTCTCACAAGGTGATGAGCTCCCACCACAGCCCCCTGCAAAAACAACCACCAAAAAAATTGATTTAAGTGGGTTTTTTTAAACACAGATCAGCTTAGGGATCCAATTTTCAGCTCAGCTTCTCTCTGAAAACTGTCACTCTGTTACTGACAGCTTCTACTTTGAGGGGAGGTGGAAGTAAAACAAAGGTGAATTAATTTCTAGATAAGAATTAATAGCCTGTACAAGGGAAAAAATAAGGAATTGACATTGCTTGGCTAGAATGAATGTGAGTACAGATCCAGGATTGTGTTTTGGGTTTTCAATACAGTATTTAACCATGCTCTGAGACTAACAATAACAACCATAACACGGGATAAGAGAGTATTTAAGTTTTCTTTTACACACATAACTCCATCACCTTCTAATGTGCAAAGCAGCAGCAAGTCAGCTCAACCATTACTTGTATAAAGTACCCAAAAAACCAACCTTAAGGAGATGCACCACCTCCCTCACTGTTCCTTATCAATAAGACAGTCCAGTATTTAAAAACAGCAATAATACACCACCATGTAATATTATCCCACAAAGTGAAGACTGAATCAGCTGATAACCCTTGGAGCTATAAGAATTAATAGCCCGTACAAGGGAAAAAATGAGGAATTGACATTGCTTGGCTAGAATAAATGTGAGTACAGATCCAGGATTGTGTTTTGGGTTTTCAATACAGTATTTAACCATGCTCTGAGACTAACAATAACAACCATAACACGGGATAAGAGAGTATTTAAGTTTTCTTTTACACACATAACTCCATCACCTTCTAATGTGCAAAGCAGCAGCAAGTCAGCTCAACCATTACTTGTATAAAGTACCCAAAAAACCAACCTTAAGGAGATGCACCACCTCCCTCACTGTTCCTTATCAATAGCACAGTCCAGTATTTAAGAACAGCAACACTATGCACCACCATGTAATATTATCCCACAAAGTGAAGACAGTCCAGTATTTAAAAACAGCAATAATACACCACCATGTAATATTATCCCACAAAGTGAAGACTGAATCAGCTGATAACCCTTGGAGCAGCCTAGAACCTGTTAGAATGTGCAAGACGGGATCTTCTGCAGAAAGCTGGAGTTCAGCATCAGCTCAGACAAGAATTGCAGTCTTCCTTCTGTCCTATCTTCTGCAGAAAGCTGGAGTTCAGTATCAGCTCAGACAAGAATTGCAGTCTTCCTTCTGTCCTCAAGTACTTCCTCTGGCAGATGTCCCCTGCTGTCCTTCCCAGGACGTGGCAGCTCTCCTTTTGCTTCCTTCACATTTTCCTAGCTTATGAAGTAGTGTCTTCTCTTTTCCTCAGCTCCTTCACCTTCCTCCACCAACTCTCTACTTTCTCCAACATAGGCAAAAATTACATATATAAAGAACATCTACTGGAGTGCCTCTGCAGGGGGCTTTCTATACACTACAGAGGAGAGCCAAGTGGCTTGCTCTGGTAGGATGTTGCTAGAGTCCATGCTCTACTCAGTACAGAGTTGCTCCTGCACCATGGCTCTTCTGTGGGACAGGGATGAAGGAACTTGCTGCTGCATCACTCAACACAGTAGCAGCAGGTTTGCAGGACCAGGCAGAATTCACAGAGTAGCAACCTTGCTATCCTGTCACGATTTCTTGTCACATCCTGGAAGGATCAAGGGTCGTAAAGAAAAACTAGCAGCTTGTTCTTGTCGAGAAAGCCCAAAGCCAAGCTCAGTCAAAACCACATTGCCAGATAAACTTTATTTACAAACGTACAAACAACAGAATTAGCGTGCTGAAAAGCACCAGGACCACAGGCCCCAAAGACAGATCATCACCTCTTTTGACGAGTATTACGAGGACAAGTGTTGCAAGTGTTATGAACACTTCTCTCCCCATCTTTGAGTGGGGAGCACAGCTGAATATGAACTGCCCATGACAAATTCTGGGTGATCTTGTATCCTCCAACATGAGACAAGCTGCTGATTTGCTGTGAAGTGTCCAGAGCTCTTGGCCCAGCACAGCACTGCTTTCTTCTAACAGTCCTCAGCCACAAGATTCAATGATTATCAGGAACACAAACTATCCTGTCAGAGAAGCTGACAACTATCTCCTCTAGATGGGAGGAGAAATACTTTGGTAAAGGACATATAAGAAGTAGGGAGTGAAAAAAAAAATAGAACCCATCTTTTCCCCAACATGACACCACAAAGCCAACAGTCTCAATAGCCTATCATAAAATTACATTCTTTTCTTTTGCTTTTCTACTTCTCCTTCCCATTACCAACCCAGAAGGAAAATCCCATTGGGGAGCCCACTGATCTATTTCCCATTCAGTCCTGAAACCACCATAGTACAGCAGGGCTGTACTGCCCACCAGCCCTGTTCCATAACAGCTGATTTTTTTCTGAACTGAATCCAGTATTTAGAAGCTGTAACCACTTCTGGTTAAACAGATCCGCTTATGTCACTGGCTTTCAAGTCAGTTCTTTTTTGCCTCTTTTTCTTCGAGAGGCCAAGAAACCTGGATGTGATACGGCTCTAGTTCTTCTGGAGTGACATAGTCTGGAGCATTGCCCATCAGGTCTCGTCCCCTGAAGGATTTAGGAAAAGCAATGACATCTCGGATACTTGGAGCATCAACGATGAGAGAGATCAGCCTGTCAAGTCCTAGACGCAGAAAACAAATTGGTGAATCACTGCAATTATGGCCCTGTATTACCTCCTCTGATTGAGAAACATCAGAAACATGGAATAGATCATATTACTGAGGTTGAAGAAACTGAAGCAAGCAAAGCAAAAAAATTAATCTCAACCAGCAACTAAAAGGGCAGAAACACCTAGCAAAATAAAGCTTTTCAATATTACAAAAAAAAATTCCACGGCACACCAAGGACTACAAGAGAGACTTTGCAAAGACAGCATAACAAGCCAGGGCAGTTAAATTGCAGGAACACTGTCAGGGCTCCACTTAACTGCTCAAATAAAGCTCTTGGTCAACCAGTTCTGAAGGATTACAACAACTGGGAGGAACTAAAAAAAGAACAAGAGCGCCTGGGTGATTGGATAGAGGGAAATCACACTGGAAGACCACAGGTTAAAATACTAGCTTTGGTTTTTGTGGGGTTTGTTTTGCTGGTTTGACTTTGTTGGTGTCTTTTTAAACCCACAAACTTGCAAAGTTCTAGGAAAAAAAGAAAATCAGGCATTGCTGTAATGCTGTACACAGCACTGTGCTGACTTTGGAGGATGCCATTCCACAAACAACTTAAGGCAACTTAGATCAGCACTGCTGTCTCCTCCCACCCCTTCTGACTCTGGAGTTCCATCTTCTCCCTGGGTTGGCACAGGCATCCATCAAGTCCTTGCCGAGCCAGCTCAGGGAGCTAACTTGGCAGCATTTGTTAACTGCCAGTTCAGCTCTCTGAATCAGTGAGCAGAAGAGATGTGGAAAAAGGGAAGTGAGACTGAAGCAGAGGGTGAGGCTGTGGCAGCCACCCAGGGCACGAAACAAAGTACCATGCTGTCCCAGCCCTCTGGGCACACGCTACAGGAATGAGAATAAAGATGATGTAATCTTTATGAACACACTGTTTTTGTAGAACAGCGGATAAGGATCACACTTAGAGCCAGCAACATGTGATTTGGTCCTTGCATAACAACTAAATCACACTATGACACTGGGGAGGAACACCAAAACATTCTGCACCTGGTGTCAAGACCTATGTTTTCTTCCACAAAGCAGCTACAAAGATGCAACCACCGTGTGAGTCCACACAGTGTTATCATATTTGTGGTGCCAAACAGCAACACGAGAACAGCCTTCTCTTGTCAGGTGACAGACAGACAAGGCTTTTGATAACAAGCTTGAGGCTTGTTCCTGGGATCTAATATGATCACACAAAAAAAAAAAGTCACAAGACACTTGTGTCCTGGAGAGCTACAGAGCACTTACCTAAAGCGATTCCTCCATGAGGTGGAGCTCCAAACTCCAAAGCCTCAAGCAGATGGGAAAGCACCTCAGAATCCTCCTGCAAAATAATCTAAGTGTCACTGGACAAGCAATGCTCTTCCTACTAGGAACCTGAGATGAAGGTATGATGAAGCCACCCATAACTCAGGGCTGGGAGTTACATTTCTTAATCAGCAAAGCACACAAGTGTTTCTTTCAGAATTTGAAATGGATCTCCAAGAGAATATTAGAGACATCTGTAAGTGTTACCTTCAGCACTTTCTCCAGCACAAAACGCTGTTGTTCTGCATTATGAATTCTGATGGAGCCACCTCCAACTTCATTGCCATTCAGCACAAGGTCATAGTGTTGGCTACGGACCTGCAGAAAGAGATGAAAAAGCACTTTAGCAAGGCTAGGGCATGGCTGCATCGAACAACAACCTGCACACAGACAGCAAAGACACTGGGAATGAAGCCATGACATATTGGAGGCATAGACTGGTGCTGACAGAGGTGGGAACAGCACAAATCATTTTACAAAGTTGATCAAAACCTGAAACATGATATGAGTCAAATATAAGACTCCTCACCCTAAGAAACTGTTTTCTATAAGCCCCTTTTGTCAGGGGCACACATGGATATTTACCACTCAGAGTAATCTGGAAGCCATCTCTTCCAAACAGACACATACAATATGCCATCAGATCCATGAAACATCTCTTTTTACACTATAAACAGCTGTTACTTGCCTAGTTTTCCACGACACAACTCTAAAAGCATCAGCATGGCAGGCATGAAGTCAGTTACCTTTGTGGGATCAGAATAGAGGAGGCTGGTATCTGAAGGATGAGGGGCAGTGAAAGGGTGATGAGCAGATTCCAGTTCAGCAGGATTCTCTTCCTTTGGCAGGAAAAGGGGGAAATCCACCACCCACAGGAAGTGAAAAGCTGAAGGATCACGGAGTGCCAGCCCAGCTGCCTCAAGAAGGTCAGCACTCTCCAACCGTAGGCTTCCTAACGCAGAGCACTGCCAAAGGGAAGGGAGAGAATGAGACAGGGCAATTTTACTAGCAGGGAAGTTGCTCAAACACAGACCAGGGAAAGAGTGTTTCATAAAGTTCATATCACAGCCAGCATCAGTTGTAATGCATTGTTGCCTTAAACACTTTTGCCTTTTATCCTGAAAGATATCACCTTCCTGATGAGGCAGCAGCAGCCCTAGGGTTTAACAAAGACTAAGTAAGGAGCTGGAAAGTCCATTTTCTTCCAACTGTTCCATCTTCACAGAACTTCTCTCGACTAACTTCAAGCTCCACACAAATGTGGATTAACTGGGGGAGCAGAGGTAAGATCTGCACTTTGCAGACAGAGAAATGAAGGCACAGAAAGAGAACATGACAAAATTTTGGCTATCAAGCAAAGCATGATGCCTTGTCATAAACCAATGCTTGGAAGGCAATGTCTGCTGGCAAGAATACAGAGAAGAGTAGGGACAGAATCTCCCATCACTGCTGCTAATAAGCAGCTGTGTTTCACTCATCATCTGCTTACTGGAGACAAAATTACCTAGTTGACCTTGTTTTCCAATCTGTTTGATGCTTTAAAAATTAAGTTAAGGTGAGAGAAAATGAGGCACTGATTTGTTCCTGTTTTATACTCCAGCTTTCATTTCAGTTACAAGTTCTTCCCAGAATTTGACTGGGGGAAATAAAAGCAATAGGTACGTTTCATGCATTACTTGCTGTTGCTATAGCTTCAGCTCCAGAGAGACACAAATTAGACTGTGACCTATTTTTAATAATAAGAAGAATTAGACTAAGGTCAGATAACATCAAAGCCATCAGCAGCAACATTCATCACACAGAGCCACCCAAGAAATGTTTCTTACCACTTGCTTGTGTTCACCAGCTGCCAGCAGTACCACATCATCCACCTGCATGTTCAGTGCTTGGATAAGCTCCGACTGCTGCTTCTCACCAAGAAACTTTGTAAGCAAAGACTTCAAGCTTCCATCAGGCCTGCAGATAATTTCCATGACTTCCTAAAGAAGGATAAGAGTATATTCATTCCAGTGCTGCCCTCTCCTGTCTTGCAGCATCACACGCTCAGGCACCAACTCTCAGCTTTTAAAAACTGCTCTTCTACCCTCCTCTGACTGCAAGTGCCTTTATACACACTTTGTCATTCACCATTTCCAATGCCTCAGCAGTGTTTCTGTCTCACCTGGTTAAACTGGGATTTTGCAGACTCCTTTAATGACTCCAAATCTTTATTTTTAAGGTATCTCTAGGGAAAGAGCAAGAAAAGACACATTAAACATCAGCAAAATCTATGGAAAGCCCGAGCAGGATTCAAATTGACTGACTGAGCTGTTTCTAAGCTTCTCACATTCTTTTGTCTCTAGTACAAGTTCTTATGAGGGCTGTAGAATAGCAAACGGCCCACAGCATTGGACTGCAGGTGGGTATCTTCTCTAAGAGCTGCTTTCAGGAAGAGGCCCCTCTATTTTGTTTATCTGGCTGCAGTTTTTTTCCCTGCTCACAGGTCAGATGTAGGTAGTCAGCAGAACCAGATCATGCCAACTAACTGCTTCCAACATGCAGGAACAAGGTTACACCACCACACTGTTGATAAAGAAAGCATAGCTCAATTTGAAGGAACAGAAGGAAATTAACTAGGCTGACTCTCACGTGCAAAGAAATGCAGATGTGAGGACCTGCATCAAGATAATCCGTTTTTTTCAGCTACTCTAATGTTAAGAAGGGCTCGAATCCACTTCTGGTTTGCTCAAGTGCACCCCTTAGCGCCCTCTTGTGGGAAGCCAGTAACTTGCACTTTGTGCCAAAAGTAAGGAATCCCAAGGAAACCATGTCAGAAAGCCCTATTCCCCAAATAAAACTTAAGTGTTTAGTGAATTATTTTTTTCCCCCATACTGCCCAAGCTGCAAAGACGCCCACAGCCAGAAATAAATCTGCTTCCCTGCCAAAATATAGGGCTGTGCCAAATAATCTTTTACATCTACTGTCAGCCTTCGATTCGGTCTGTGACATTCTCATTACGAGACAGGAGCTGTGCCCACAAATGCAGGAAAAGCAAACATGACAAGGACATGTAACCATCTGATCTTTTTCTCACTAGTCCAGAACAGAGCTGTGCCACACCTGGCTCTATTTCAATCTCTTGCCATAGGGCACAATTTATTATTAAGATGCACATCAGAAGCCATCCTTGACAAAAGGAAGCTGAAACCCCAAGAGGCTTCCCTGTCTTCAAGGGGCCTTGCAGCTGTTTTCTTCCTCCCCTTCTTAAGGGCAATACATTCTTCCTGTTGCCTGACCACCTCCATTCCCCTCTTCTACCACCACTCAGCCCACCCTGACATCAATCACAACCAATCCCTGGTTCCGTGAACAGCACTACTCCTCCAGTAACAGCAAGGAACACTTCCATACCAACAAAGGAATTCAAATTGGTATTTTATTTATTTCACATAAACCATAAGCAGTATGTAAAGCATCACTTACCATCCCCTGAGGGATACAAATGGCTTTCACAGCACCATGTGGGTAACTGAGTGCATTCCGCACAAACTGGATGTCCAGTCCTCGTAAAAAGTCACCAATATCCACTATCTGAGAAAGGAGAGATCACAGGAAAAAGCAGTGGTGACAGGAACATGGAACAAAAATCCTGCACCTGTGTCTTAATGCCTTCAACATTGGGATATCATTTCTTTGCTCAGAAAAATCAAATAGTTCACAGAAAGAACTGAATGGGGCCAAGCTGGAATAACCATTAGGAAGCTGAGCACTGCAGAAAGATAAGTGCAAGAGAGCCAGGAAAACCTAAGGTTGAGATGGTGACAACCAACGACAGTGAAAAGAGCTGTATACTGAAAAAAAAAAACCCAAATTTAATTCCTGGGGAAATATAAGATACTTTCCTGAAAAAAAAACCCCAAAATTAATTCCTGGGGAAATATAAGATACTTTCCTGTTTTTCAGCAGTGCTCCTCTTAATACATTTGTCAATATTCTTATTTCATATACAAACAGTGTATGCACACAACTGTAGTTGGTTACCTTGAAAGTATCTTCAGGCCATTAAAAGGCTGGAGAAACCTGTCTCATGAAGCACGCACACCAGGAGTACTCTTTGGAGTGCAGCAGAGAAAAGCACTTACAGTATCTGTGGATTTCTTACTGGCTTCCGTTCCTAAGACAGTCAAGATACATTGCTTCCTAACACTCCATTATTTTTAAAATAAAGTGTTCTAAAAACACATGTTTTCCCACAACCAAATAATCAAACTCTCTCTTCTCCAAGAGATGATTACTGGTACAAAGCAGGAATGATGGGATAATGCTGTCATTTACCCAAGGTGTTTAAGAACTCCAGACAGTCATGTATGTATTATTTATACAAAAATTATTCCTCAAACACTAACAGAAAGGAGAAGCTGCAAGTTTCCAACAGGCAAACCCTCACCTTCATCCCAAAACGAGTGTCTGGTTTATCAGTCCCATAGTCAGCCAGTGCCTCTTCGTACGTCATGGAAGGGAAAGGAGTTGCAATGGACCCTCTTTCCTCAGGCCAGGAATATTGCAGGAGGCCCTCTATCAGTCTCTGGATCCCAGCTTGATCTACAAATGACATCTCTATATCTATCTTAAAATAAAAAGTAGAGGGGAGATTCCACATTAGTTAAAGGTTTGCCTTTGCGCTGCTACTTGCAGAAGTTCTTGAAAGGTTTACCTTTGCGCTGCTACTTGCAGAAGTTCTTGACCATAAAGCCAGCATAAAAAGAAATAACATGCTCCACAAAATCATAGCATGACTGCATTAGACTGAGGGTGTGCTTATGATCTCACTACAGCCTGATGACTCAGGCAACAATCTCCTCAGAGATCCGAATGAGGTAATGATGACAAGGACAGGGGGAGAAACCTTGAACGAACCAGGCTAACTCTGCCTGGGAACTCAAGGCTGAGGAATGGGATGCAAAAAGAGATTGCATCATCAAGCAGAATAAATGACAAGAGCTAGGCCTTCAGAAGGGAAAACAGGGAGAAGCTGTTTGGGTGGAGGAGGAGGGTGACAGGCAGTGGGAGCTGGTTACCTGGGTGAATTCAGGCTGCCTGTCAGGCCGCGAACCTTCATCTCGGTAGCAGCGAGCAACCTGAAAGTATCTGCAATAGTACTTTTTACTTAGATAACAATTTAAAGTACCCTAAATTAAATTTTGGATAAAGAATTGATCATTAAAGAAAGAAGCGAGAGCTCAGATCCCTTTGCAGCAGATGTTCATAGCCCTGGTTGTCCCCATCCCCTCAAAAGCATGAAATTTTGAGTGGAAACAACTGTATCAGCAGCTGTATCTATCTCCAAACATACCTTGTGGAGGCTACCAGGTGAGCTGTGTCCCAACAGGGACATACAAAACTGCTTTTCCCACCTTCCACTCCAAACCTGCGCTCTACTAACAGTAAAATTCACTCATGGTCAAGACCTGGCCTGCAGTTCACTGCGTGAACAATTGTCTCCCTCTCCTTCAATTTTATTTGAAGAAACAAGCCCAATTAAAAACTTTGCACTCATGCACCCTGAGAACGTGCTTTCCTTGTCTGTCATGCTCAGCTGCCCAACCTCATCTCCATTAGTTCTATAGCTTACTCTTGGAGAGGTTTCTAACACACACTAGATTTTCTGCCCTTCAGGCAGGCTGTGCTTCAGATCAGGTTTCTATTTAAAACAGCAGCAAAGATTTCACCTTCTAACAGGATGCATTTCTTCTTATTGGGAGGCATTATTGCTGGGGGTAAAGGGACTGGCCTAGCTGAAAAGTATTAAGTATTTAAGGATCTCTCTTCAAAACGCAAACCCCTCAGCAGTAAGTTTTGGGGAATTATCTAAAACTTCACAGATCAAACCAAGCAAACCCTGGACAGGACCCACAGAGAACAGGAGTCCAAGAAATTCTTACCTGTCCAGGCCCCCAACCATGAGGAGCTGCTTGAACTGCTGAGGACTCTGTGGCAGAGAGTAGAACTTGCCCACTTCCCTCGAGGGCACAAGGAATTCTTTTGCTCCCTAGCACCAGAAAGAAAAGATTACGAAAAGATTCAGCAAATAAGCAGCCTCAATTCACAACAGAGAGAGCACAGACTAGAACCATAAGAGGAAAGGACCTATTTTCCTCAATACGAAATTTTACTTGTGAGGAAATGGCTGTTTGTACATTACACTTTAAAAACCAAAAAATCTGTTAACCAACTTGGTGCAAAATATCCAAAGGAGGACTCTCCACCTTCTGCTCTGAGAGACTAATGCATAACAATACACCATCTAAGACAGGGTTTTAAATGCAAGAGCTCCACGTTAGCTACATCACCAATTCCTGGGCTACTGCTCTCTGTGGCTATTTTCGAAATGAAAAAAAGGAATATAAACTCAGAAATTAAAACTACTTGAGCAGTGTTACTGCAACAAGCTACTAGTTAAGAGATAAATGCTGGGGAAACAGTGCTTAGAGGAAGTTTTTTGTTTTATAATCTGGCTGTCCCAGGACATGCATTCACATGCATTCTACAAGACAGAGGCTTTATTCATTTGAAGGTTCCAAATTAAGACACAAGACATCACCTCTTCCCTTTCAGTCCCTCTACTTTTAAAAGGATCCATGTATCTTATCAGAAATTTGCACGAGCTGTTACTTAGTGCAAGAACAGCAATGAAGGCCGAGTGGCAACTGACAATAATTCAATCATGCAATCTGTGTGGTTACAGGAGGCCAAAATGCAATTCCAAGAGAATACATACCCCTGGGGTTCTTTTAAAGAGAGTTGGAGTTTCCACATCCACGAACCCTGTGGAACAAACACATGCTTCAGTTACAGAATATGCTGAAAGCAGGGAGAACTAATATGACACAAAGTGAGCTAGAGTCAGGTTACTCAGCAAAATAATCACCACACCCTATAGCCTCTACAAAATGTAGAGATTTTGCTGCCTCTAAGAATAACTTGTATAATGACAGATTTCAAGGCTCTGAGCTACCCTGATGTCCTGCCAGAACTGTTGTTGACAAGCTCCACAAAATCATAGCATGACTGCATTAGACTGAGGGTGTGCTTATGATCTCACTACAGCCTGATGACTCAGGCAACAATCTCCTCAGAGATCCGAATGAGGTAATGATGACAAGGACAGGGGGAGAAACCTTGAACGAACCAGGCTAACTCTGCCTGGGAACTCAAGGCTGAGGAATGGGATGCAAAAAGAGATTGCATCATCAAGCAGAATAACTCACAAGAGCTAGGCCTTCAGAAGGGAAAACAGGGAGAAGCTGTTTGGGTGGAGGAGGAGGGTGACAGGCAGTGGGAGCTGGTTACCTGGGTGAATTCAGGCTGCCTGTCAGGCCGCGAACCTTCATCTCGGTAGCAGCGAGCAACCTGAAAGTATCTGCAATAGTACTTTTTACTTAGATAACAATTTAAAGTACCCTAAATTAAATTTTGGATATAGAATTGATCATTAAAAAAAAAAAGGGAGAGCTCAGATCCCTTTGCAGCAGATGTTCATAGCCCTGGTTGTCCCCATCCCCTCAAAAGCATGAAATTTTGAGTGGAAACAACTGTATCAGCAGCTGTATCTATCTCCAAACATACCTCATGGAGGCTACCAGGTGAGCTGTGTCCCAACAGGGACATACAAAACTGCTTTTCCCACCTTCCACTCCAAACCTGCGCTCTACTAACAGTAAAATTCACTCATGGTCAAGACCTGGCCTGCAGTTCACTGCATGAACAATTGTCTCCCTCTCCTTCAATTTTATTTGAAGAAACAAGCCCAATTAAAAACTTTGCACTCATGCACCCTGAGAACGTGCTTTCCTTGTCTGTCATGCTCAGCTGCCCAACCTCATCTCCATTAGTTCTATAGCTTACTCTTGGAGAGGTTTCTAACACACACTAGATTTTCTGCCCTTCAGGCAGGCTGTGCTTCAGATCAGGTTTCTATTTAAAACAGCAGCAAAGATTTCACCTTCTAACAGGATGCATTTCTTCTTATTGGGAGGCATTATTGCTGGGGGTAAAGGGACTGGCCTAGCTGAAAAGTATTAAGTATTTAAGGATCTCTCTTCAAAACGCAAACCCCTCAGCAGTAAGTTTTGGGGAATTATCTAAAACTTCACAGATCAAACCAAGCAAACCCTGGACAGGACCCACAGAGAACAGGAGTCCAAGAAATTCTTACCTGTCCAGGCCCCCAACCATGAGGAGCTGCTTGAACTGCTGAGGACTCTGTGGCAGAGAGTAGAACTTGCCCACTTCCCTCGAGGGCACAAGGAATTCTTTTGCTCCCTAGCACCAGAAAGAAAAGATTACGAAAAGATTCAGCAAATAAGCAGCCTCAATTCACAACAGAGAGAGCACAGACTAGAACCATAAGAGGAAAGGACCTATTTTCCTCAATACGAAATTTTACTTGTGAGGAAATGGCTGTTTGTACATTACACTTTAAAAACCAAAAAATCTGTTAACCAACTTGGTGCAAAATATCCAAAGGAGGACTCTCCACCTTCTGCTCTGAGAGACTAATGCATAACAATACACCATCTAAGACAGGGTTTTAAATGCAAGAGCTCCACGTTAGCTACATCACCAATTCCTGGGCTACTGCTCTCTGTGGCTATTTTCGAAATGAAAAAAAGGAATATAAACTCAGAAATTAAAACTACTTGAGCAGTGTTACTGCAACAAGCTACTAGTTAAGAGATAAATGCTGGGGAAACAGTGCTTAGAGGAAGTTTTTTGTTTTATAATCTGGCTGTCCCAGGACAGGACTTGCATTCTACAAGACAGAGGCTTTATTCATTTGAAGGTTCCAAATTAAAACACAAGACATCACCTCTTCCCTTTCAGTCCCTCTACTTTTAAAAGGATCCATGTATCTTATCGGAAATTTGCACGAACTGTTACTTAGTGCAAGAACAGCAACGAAGACCAATTGACAATAATTCAATCATGCAATCTGTGTGGAGAAATTTGCACGAGCTGTTACTTAGTGCAAGAACAGCAATGAAGGCCGAGTGGCAACTGACAATAATTCAATCATGCAATCTGTGTGGTTACAGGAGGCTAAAATGCAATTCCAACAGAATACATACCCCTGGGGTTCTTTTAAAGAGAGTTGGAGTTTCCACATCCACGAACCCTGTGGAACAAACACATGCTTCAGTTACAGAATATGCTGAAAGCAGGGAGAACTAATATGACACAAAGTGAGCTAGAGTCAGGTTACTCAGCAAAATAATCACCACACCCTATAGCCTCTACAAAATGTAGAGATTTTGCTGCCTCTAAGAATAACTTGTATAATGACAGATTTCAAGGCTCTGAGCTACCCTGATGTCCTGCCAGAACTGTTGTTGACAGAGGACTCCATATAGCTTGAAAAAATTGTTAATTCTCTATCCATTTTGAACTAGGCTCTGCTTTTCCGAAAAGGATTTCCTGATTTTAGACATACAAAAGGCCTATAAGAAAACCATTCCTTTGACATGCCTCAAGTTGGGTGACCAAAAGAGGGAAACTACCTGCAAAAGGCCTTTTCTCACTGGATAGAGCTCAATTGAAACAACTGGTTTGTAGCATGCTAAGAGATCTCAATATACTTTGTTCTTCAGGTCTGCCAACATCCCTCTGAAGGCGCCACTGCAAGCAGACATGTCCTTACTAAGCAGGACCAGACTGGAGTAGCAAGCTGATTGGCAATCTCTCCCAGCAATAAGAACAGAAAAAGGGAGGGCTAAAATGTTATTTGCTGCACACTGTTTTCTTCAAGTACTTTTCTTACCGTGCAGGTTACACAGATACTCCCGCATCCTCATCACCATCTGTGACCTCAGCCGCAGGTTGTACTGCAACCGGGAGCTACGCAAGTCCAAGTAGCGATACTGCATCCGTAAGGCCTCTGATTTCTGAGGAGATAATTAGGGTTAAGAGATAAAATTCAAATTGCACGTCCAATGAAGCTGCTACTAAAGCCACAGGACAAAAGGGGCTATAAACGGATGATGCTCTATTGCCACAACCCACCCGTTACCCACAACCTACAAACATCAGCCACTGAGAGTGTTTCCATGCATGACAATTACTTTAAAAAAAAAAAATTTGTGGTTTGTGTTGGTTTTGAGGTGCTGGAGCGGGTCCAGAGAAGGGCAAACCAACACAAACCACACATTTGAGGTGCTGGAGCGTGTCCAGAGAAGGGCGACAAAGATGGTGAGGGGTCTGGAGAATAAGTCTTATGAGGAGAGGCTGAAGGAACTGGGGTTATTCAGCCTGGAGAAGAGGAGGCTGAGGGGAGACCTTATTGCTCTCTACAACTGCCTGAAAGGAGGGTGTAGAGAGGTGGGGGTCGGTCTCTTTTCTCAAGTCACAGGCGACACGACGAGAGGAAATGGCCTGAAGTTGCACCAGGGGAGGTTCAGGCTGGATATTAGGAAAAATTTTTTCACTGAAAGGGTCATCAGCCATTGGAATGGGCTGCCCAGGGAGGTGGTTGAGGCACCACCCCTGGAGGTGTTCAAAAGACGGGTTGATGTAGTGCTGGGAGGTATGGTTTAATGATGATGCTCCTTGTTTGTTGTGTGGGTGTCTATTTTTGTCAGTTGGGTTGACGGTTGGACAAGATGATCTTTAAGGTCCCTTCCAACCTAGAAGATTCTGTGATTCTGTGATTTACTGTGCTAATACATGTCTCAATAAAGCTCTGGATTTCAGGTCTCCCTATTCTCAGTCCATTGCAACAGACTGTAGCAATCCTACTTGCAACTTCTAAGCAGAGGATTAGTACCATATAGAGAACTAAAGGAACAACTAAAGGGTGATACATCCTTATTACAGACAGGAAAACTAAAGCAGTGTGGATGATGTGTCCAGGACCTGTAACACAGAAGCAACAGGACCCAGTTCTCCCAACTGCAGCACCAATGTATTAGCCAAAGATTCAATGGTACAGAGAACATCTTCTATTAACAGCGATGCCACTCCTATACCATAAAGTCTGCATTAAAACTAACCTCTTATAAGAGTGTGTACTTACAGAGGAAGAAAATCTTCCTCGCTGACAAGACAAAGTACCCCAGCCTTAAAACACAGCAGTGCATTGGCAGGTTCTGTTTCACACTCTCAAAGAGCTAGCACAGGCTGATTTCTTTCACTCATCCCTTCACCATCTGTTCTTACAGTGCTATTGGAAAACTCTGTGCACTGGAATCGTTCAAGCCTTGTTTTCTGCTTTAATTTGAATTATAAATACATCCTCAAAGCTAACAAGCAACACCCCTACTTTAAATACCATCCTTCCCCCAAAGCAGAGCTGGGAGAACCAGATGAAGCTCTCAGATGCTTTGCCATCGCCCTAGACAAATTCCCAATTCATTGTAATGCCACTACCTTGGTTAAAAAGAAAAAAAAGAAAAAAATTAGAGACACCTTGATAAAATCCTTGATTTCAAAAGGTAGCTTCTTGCAAGAGTTTAGGACCTCTGCAGTCTCCGCCTTCACTTCAATATCCCCTGTTGGCATTTTCTGGAGTAAAAAGACAATTAAAACAAAAAAGATTCAAAATTTAGGGAAAACAATTGAACAAAGGTATTTCACAGATGGTCAGGGGAAAAAAAGAAACCCATGTGATTATCCTCCCTGCCTTCTTAACACCGTATAACTCGGAAAACTTCTCTCAAGGACAGATTTCTCCTAGTTTTCCCTTCTGTTCAGAAAAAACAGAAGTCACCTTGTCACCAAAGATGGCATGTTCTTTCCCAGTAGCATACTGATCTCTACAAGAAATAAAATGACTTTTCCTTTGCTTCTCCTTGGAGGACATGTTAAGCACAGAGCAACAGTCAGGCACAGACCCTTCTAGGGCACGTGCATTTGGAGGAAATACTAGTTCCATTAACTTCAATGACACCACGCAGCATACATTTTAGTGTGCATTAGCAGCATCACCGTCAGCCCTTAGTAGAGTCAAAAAAGGCAACTTGCAAGGAACTTCTCAGAACTTCCAGTTCTGTACATCAGTTCTCAGAACTAGTTGTTGTCTTCTTACAACAGACAGCTTGCCCCACTTAGCACTGTGCCACATCAAAGTTCATTTGATCCTACAGAACTCTTTCTATTTAGCAGTGGAAAGCATACACAACCTTCCAACAAAATGAGAAATGATTAAAAGAAATAAAAGCATTGCTTGAAGCCTGCATTCTTTATGGACACCTATAAGCAGTCAGAGCAGAGTTATGCTCACAAATCCAGGTTCTCTTTTTAGGCTTGCCAGTGATAGGATATGCACAATCCTGACAGATTTATCTATGGCAGATTACAGTAAAAGCTGAGGAATGCATAACATTAAAAATATATTCAAACTCTCTTTCCTATACAATGACAACAGCAAAATCTATTCTGAGTGAGAAATAGGTCACCACAAGCTGTGCAGCTTTTGATGACAATACTTATTTTCAAGAAAAAGCCTGAAAAAGCCAACAATTATCCTTTCAAAGGGGTGATGACAATACTTATTTTCAAGAAAAAGAAACTCTCATCCACACTTTGAAAGCTTGAAAAAGCCAACAATTATCCTTTCAAAGGGCTGGAATACAATTTAATTCATGAGTGCCCATTAATGTGCTTTGAGGTTCTCCCAAATCGCATGTCATAGCAGTTATTTCACCTGACATTATCATATCAAAGCTATGACAGAAATCCCACCATAATCCTACTATTCAGTGCTCTTTTCCACAAGGAATAAAACTCCTAAGAGATTCCACCATCCTCACCGGATTCTCCTGCCCGGGGGGCCGAGGGGACACAATTCCAGTCACTCGCACAACAGACTCCACTGGGGCATTAGACAAGAGCTTCTTCACATGGGCATGTGCCTGCAAGAGGATGACAACATTTCACTGAAATTCAAAGATGCTCAAAGGCCTTATTTTTCAACAGCCTGTTTGAATCATCTATCACTCCAGAAGAAACAGCATTAACGTTTCTGTTGCAGCCTCAGATCAGGGCTCACATAATGCTTAAACCTACTTGTGAGTCAGATCACTCTGACAAAGTACTTTATTCTGCTCTCCATGTCTGCTGGACCCAAGCTACCAAAGGAAAAAAAATAAAAATAATAGGAACTCATATTTTGGTAGCACTTACCTCATCCTGTGGAATGATGATCTGGGTCAGTCCCTGGAAATCCCTCAAAACCAGAAACAGACCTTGCCTGTTCCATGAAAAACACAAAAGGAAAAAGTTTTTTCAACAATTCAGTAGCCTTCTGCCTTTTAAGCCAAAGCACATGACAACTAGCTACTTTCTGTACTTTGTGACTGATCTCAAAGCATTTCCAAGTAATGCACATACAGATACTTTTACCACATCTGAATCTAATCTGAACAATTCCTTTCAGATTTTGCCCAGCCACAGACAAACAATGTGCAAATAACCAGGAGAGGCAGAATTTTAACTTGGAACGTTAATCCATGTAGAACAGGGTTTGTGAACACGTGCAATTTCCTGCTGGGAAACATTGTTCAGATAAACACAATTAGATGAGTTATAACACTAAAGTTCACACGGATACAAAAAAACCCACCAAAATCCAACCACAAAACAAGGAGAACACTAGTCCCATAAAAAGTTTCACATGAAGAAGCCACACTCCTAGACCCAGAATCATAAATCCTGATTTCTTCAGCTGCAGTACAGCCAGCTACCATCATACTTAATCCATCAAGAAGCTGTCAAATGGAACACGCTCTGGCTGTCTTTAAAAGTCTTTAAATGAGACTTTAAAGTCTCATTGCAATAATCTTAACTCTGGTTCCTAGAACTCCACCCACAACTGTTCAAAGATGAGATGCTAAAAAAAAAGATAAAATCCATGCAAGCCATCACTGGAGAACAACGCTGGATAAAAAGCAGCTTCTCTGGACTGTAAAACACAAAATACAACCTTTGATATGAAGAAATTTCAAAGCCATGGTACCTATCTGCATTTTACAAGCACATACCCAGGATATGTTGGAGCATCCTCCATGCTGTATGCAGACACACTTTTTACCCTTCATTTACAAAACATTAAACTCTATTAGGAGTGATTATATCACACCACCTAGAGCAAACTGTTAGAATTAACATTTTATCCTCTACTTACTATCTTTTTTTAGCATTTCTTTTTTTAAGCAAAGCTTGCATACTTCAGAATTGCATCATTAGACCCTATAGTTGAAAAGGCAAACAACATCGTTTACTTAAAACTTAAGGACACTATATAAAAGAAATTATTTGCTCACAGCTGTTAGAATTGCTATGAATATGCTATTACTTCCCTCCTATACACGAAGGGTAATAATAATTAACTGCTTCACAGCATTGACATGAGGATCAATTAACATTTTCTCCTATACATGAAGGGTAATAATTAACTGCTTTACAGCATTGACATGAGGATCAATTAACATTTCTATGAAACTCTGAAATTTTAACTTCTGATCTGACACAGTTTTCAACTGTTTTACTGGCTTCAGAAGTGACCACTGCAAGATACATCAATTAACATTTCTACGAAACTCTGAAATTTTAACTTCTGATCTGACACAGTTTTCAACTGTTTTACTGGCTTCAGAAGTGACCACTGCAAGATACGAAAAGATAACCTGAAGCATAAAAAAAAGCATTTGAATCCAGGCCTAGAGCACACATTGCACCTGGCAAATAAACATCTCTACTGTCACCTTGGTTCGCATTTACCTTTGATACTGAATCCATCCATACAGTGTGACCTCTTGTCCCACATGAGCAGAACACAGCTCTCCACATGTATTGGTCCGAGTGACGAAACTATTGAAGTCTTGAATAAAAATAGTAAATTATTTTGTGCCTTTTGCAGACAAACAAGACAAAACAGTTATAGAGTCCCCCCAACACTAACATAGTTTAGACACCTATGAAGAAATTACTCTATATAGCCCCACTATGACTGCTTTAAGATATGAAATCATAAATACAACATGAAATGACGCTAAACAAGTTTTTAAGAGGAGTTATTTCTGTGTCTCAGTCAAACTTTCACACAGAAATCTGAACAGTCTTGCTGCAAACTGTTGCCCCGCAAATTTCAGGGGGAAGAGAAGGAAAAGCTACAGATCAATCCTGAGGCATGCTGACAGTTCCACATTTGAACTTAGAAGACAGAAATGAGACTGAAACATAATGGCACCCACCACATCTGTGTAAATTGAACAGATTCCTGCCTGCAACTACTGATACAAGACCCAAACCGTGACTAAAGAACTTTCCACAGACCCCAGCAAGCCTAGCATCATGACTTAGTTGTAAAACCAAGCACATCACTTATGAAATATGCTAGCATTTCAGCTTGCAAGAAAAAATCTGAAGGTCAGTACTACCTAGACATATATATTTGTATATAGTTATACAGACCAGTCTCCCTTGCTACCTCCATCACAGCCTACAGGCTGCAAAGGAGAGGACAAGAAAGCTCATTTTCACACTGGGCACACTAGCCCTAGTGTTTACAGATTGCGTGCTACAGAAGAGGGAGGAAAAAAGCAAAATAAAAACTAAAAGAATTAGACAAATTGGTTTTGATGTACTTTCAACCACAACTCATTGTAAGATGCCAAAAGTCAAATAAAAACATGATTTGGAGAAGATGTTTCAAAAATGAACCAGTGAAAAGAATTTATTGTGAGTGTGCCTTTAGGCTTCTCTGCAGACTACCCTGACCTGGGTCGCCGGGAGGGGAAAGAAACCAAACAAAACCCACCAAAAACCCAGAAGAGGCAATAACAGGGACAAGACAAACACCTGTTTCTCACCTGGAGCCGCCGGTGCCGACACAGGGGCTGCTCGGTGCAGAGCCCGCCCGCAGCCCGGCCGGGCCAGCACCCTGAACAGGGGCCGAAGCAGGCGGGGAAGGGCCATTTCACGGCCTGCACCTGAACGAGAAACCAGCAAGTCGTTAAAAATAAAGGCGCAGAAGGCAAAGCGCCATCCCCGGGGCCTCAGCCCTGCTCTGGAGCCCCAACTCCCGGGGGAGGCCTAGACCACCAGCGGGGAGCAGAGCTCCTGCTGCCGGGGACGGGAGCGGTGGAGAGACCTCCAGCTGCAGCAAGCGGGTCGCCTCACTGGTAAAACTCGTTGCCTAGGGGCTCGCTAACAGAAACCTTCCTCACCCTGAGCTGCAGCTTGGCCAGAGGAACTTCACCTCACCCCGCCGCCGCCACCTTCTTTCCCTACTTCCGCCCGCCACAAATATGGCGGCGGGGGG